TTTAACTATTTCTTGGGATGTTTAAACAAACATAGTCATCCGCTGGGTTTTTTTCAGGATCATCTTTGATATCTGATAGCTGTAAAGGTGTGCCCGGTTTGCCTTACTTCTGATATGATTTGAACAGTTACTAATCGGGACATTGATAAGTTGCTTGCCTGGGGGGAGCACCGTCGTAACATAAACATTTAGCTGCACCTCAGTCCGTGACGGTTGCACGCATGTGCGGTTTATATTTACAGTAAACTACGTTTATAACGAACACGCTTATAACGAACTGACCGATGTAACGAACATATTTTTTGGTCCCAGCCATTTGATGATATATGCTGTATATATGCTTATAACGAACTGCGGTTATCGCGAACTATAATTAGTGGTCCCTTTGAGTTCGTAATAGCCGTAGTTTACTGTAGCCCATTTGTTCCTCATTGTCGTAACTAACTATGACCAGATGGACAAGGTGTCTGGTCGTGTTTCATGTGTAAGTGTCAGTTAAGCTGAGGTAGACGCCATCTCAGTGTACTGGTCAATAACTCTATGACTAATCCACTCAGTGTGTGTTCAGTGGAAGAGGGGGTTATTGTTCTAGAAAGGAGCATAACTGCGCGAGATGGCTTAGCGTGACGTGCATCCACTTGGAGGGGCTCTGCAGAGATAATATGGTAACGACTGATTTCAATAGGGGGTCCAACCCTACATTTCACTATCCTCTATTAAAACGGACTTTGAAATATTTGGGAGCACACAAATCACGTTCTGTACACAAGAAGGGCGTATGGCTGTGATGGTGGCGAATGGTGGGGATGGGTCGTCCCTTATACATGTAACAGCTTGGGAGATGCTCATATTATAATTCAGCATATTCACTAGATATCGGCCTCCGTTAATGTAGGAGCCACAGGAACATTTAAATTCATAACTTTGTCACGTTAAACAGGAACGGGATTAAATAAAAAAACTTCAGCGTCGGAGAATTTTCATCATGATTATCCGGTGTAACAATGGGCGCAAAAGGCAAAAGTGGTGACAAATACTGTTATATGAATAGGTCACTAAATTCAGTGGTGACATTAAGCGCTCGCGAAAAGGACAATCTCGTATGTCATATTTTAAATCATAAATATATTTTAAACGATAAGAAGACATCCCTTATTTTTTGCGTCGAGACAAACTCATTCATCTTTTATTTTTAATGTTTAACAATTTTGATTATCTTCTAGAATGCACTGAACCAGTAAGGAGTGAGCTAGGGAGTCGTATGTCTTTACCTTTGTCAGAAACTTCATCGAAAGTATCTGTTTCCATAAGGTAGTCCATGAAAACTATTTTTCACCATACACCAATGTAACATAACTGTAGATCTATCACAATAATTAAATATAAATAAAAGCGACAAAACCCTTTCCATAATCATGAGACATGTCTGGTAAAAGCAGACTCCCCTGTACGACTCCGAATATATCAGAAACGTGGTTATGAATCACTTTCAAACTGGGATAATATCAGGTGTTCGCTAATAGATGAATACCCGGTGGTTCCCCTTACAAACACTTGCAAAGGCAAGTCAACTGCTCATCTAAAACCACGTGAACATATGGAACAAGTCAAAAGAAGGAATTGCATCAGACATAATTTTTGTCACTCATGTGTCAAATGTGGAAATGTCCTGCATCTGTCTAACATAAAACTTGTAACGCATTGATTGTAACAATATATCAAATTGTTTTTCATTATCACCAAAACCGATTTTCTCTTCAAACATAACCGTGACTGTTCCATATAATGATACCGTAGAACTACGTCTTGCAGAAACTTAGAATAATTTGTTCAGTAAAATCGCGAAGGTCATTTAAAGAACAATCCAAGTTGTATGATTTAAAGCAAATCCAAGTTGTGCCATTCAAAGCGCTCTGCAAGTTGTATGATTTAAAGCACAATCCAAGTTGTATGATTTAAAGCACAATCCAAGTTGTATAATTTAAAGCACAATCTATGCTTTATCATTTAAAGCACAATCCAAGTTGTATCATTTAAAGCACAATCCAAGTTGTATCATTTAAAGCACAATCCAAGTTATATGATTTAAAGCACAATCAAAGTTGTATGATTTAAAGCACAATCCAAGTTGTATCTTTTAAAGCACAATCCAAGTTGTATGATTTAAAGCACAATCCATGTTGTATCATTTAAAGCACAATCCATGTTGTATCATTTAAAGCACAATCCAAGTTGTAAGTGTGTTACTCGGCCTGGTGTAAATAATAATTATTCATGCAATTCTTCATACGTAGAAAACATTATTTAATCACGTACGTTAACGTACTGTGTTCTGTGACCTGGTTAATATTTATTATTCATAAGATTGCTTTTTCGACATTAAACCCCTAACTTTATATCTAAAAATGAATAAACCATTGATACATATAGAGAATCTCACCCGAGTGTCTTTTGTTATCAAATATATCAACACAAGTTGATAAAAGTGGAAACATTCCGAGGCTTGCCGAGGATTTGTGCCACTTTTTTTCAACTAGTGTTGATATATTTGATATCAAAAGACACGGGGGTGAGATTTTATTTATCATCCAATATCATTCTTCCAACTTTTTCAATTTGTAGACAGTAATAAGCAGTGTCTTAAGTGTAAAAAGTACTGCTAACAGCTTCAGTAGTAGAGCCATAAGTGATGTCATTTGATTCTGACGTCATGGTAACCAGTGACGTCACAATGGTCTGCAAAGCATTGTGATGTAATTTCATTGCAGCGATATCTACAGTGTAGATATCGCTTGATCTCATCCAAGCGATATCTCCTGTGGGAGCCAGTTTTGGATGATAAATGTTCATCTTCTCCTAACGTAAAAGACTGAAAAAAGTAAGGCACCATGAATGGTTTTGGAGTCTTGGCTGTGCATCCCCAAAATATTCGTGATCCCCAACCATTTTTGTTCAGTATATTTCTTATATATCATATACACTTATATGAAGGTATAAACCTTAAAACAAGTAATAACTTAAACTGTTAGTAGCAAGCAATAGTGTTAAGCTTCGAGCTCTCCTGCGAATAAAACAACGTTTCTTTCGATTTAGAATGTATGGCAACTTGCAAACAAGTGATGGAACTCCACGACTATTGATTACTTATATACCAGAGGGATAAAACATCTACATCCCTGGCAGACAAATCTGTTTTTGCAGACAACTTCGCTGAAGACTAACCAACCAAAGAACATCTTTGATTCCCGGGCATGGGAACATCGATCAACCTCAAGGCTGATACCAACTTGCTGTTATTCACACTGTTATGGATAATAGTGTGTCGGCATTCATAAGTTCACGTTACGATTTCGCCAGTTCATGGTGTGGATACTGTCCTTGATTGCTAAGCCCTCATCAACAGCAGCGCAAACAATGGTTCCCAGTGTGACTGTATATTAACTATTCCTAATCATGTGTACTTTTATGATATATGTTACTTACGTCTGTCAGAGTTCACTTTCTGTTTCATTCATAAACGTTATTCTACACGGGTGCCATTGTACACGGATGCCATTGTACTAGGGTGCCATTGTACACGGGTGTCATTGTACACAGGTGCCATTGTACTAGGGTACTATTGTACACGGGTTCCATTGTACACGGGTTCCATTGTACACGGGAACCATTGTACACGGGTGCCATTGTACACGGGTACCATTGTACACAGGTGTCATTGTACACAGGCGCCATTGTACAGGGGTGCCATTGTACACGGGTGCCATTGTACACGGGTTCCATTGTACACAGGTTCCATTGTACACAGGTGCCACTGTACACAGGTGCCACTGTACACAGGTGCCATTGTACACAGGCGCCATTGTACACAGGTGCCATTGTAAACAGGTGCCATTGTACACAGGTGCCATTGTACACAGGTGCCACTGTACACAGGTGCCATTGTACACAGGTGCCACTGTATACAGGTGCCATTGTACACAGGTGCCACTGTATACAGGTGCCATTGTACTAGGGTGCCATTGTACACAGGCGCCACTGTATACAGGTGCCATTGTACTAGGGTGCCATTGTACTAGGGTGCCATTGTACTAGGGTGCCATTGTACACGGGTGCCATTGTACACAGGCGCCATTGTACACAGGCGCCATTGTACACAGGCGCCATTGTACACAGGCGCCATTGTACACAGGCGCCATTGTACACGGTTGTCATTGTACACGGGTGTCATTGTACACGGGTGCCATTGTACACAGGTGCCATTGTACACGGGTGCCACTGTACACAGGTGCCATTGTACACAGGCGCCATTGTACACAGGTGCCATTGTACACAGGTGCCATTGTACACAGGTGCCATTGTACACAGGTGCCATTGTACACGGGTGCCATTGTACACGGGTGCCATTGTACACAGGTGCCATTGTACACAGGTGCCATTGTACACAGGCGCCATTGTACACGGTTGTCATTGTACACGGGTGCCATTGTACACAGGTGCCATTGTACACGGTTGTCATTGTACACGGGTGCCATTGTACACAGGTGCCATTGTACACGGTTGTCATTGTACACAGGTGCCATTGTACACAGGTGCCATTGTACACGGGTGCCATATGCCTGGTGCCATTGTACACTGCTATGTTTCAGGCCTTGTACAAAGTTCGAATTCCAAGTTAAACCGCATGTGAAAAGATCTTACTATTTGATTCAAAAGAATTCCTATTGCCATAACACATATGGTTAAAATGACCTTATGCTAAATTCGAAGTAAATTTTAAACCGCGTATGAAAATTTAAATATTCTATTCAAAGGCAATGATGTTAATATTACTCCTAAAAAGTTAAAATTTAAATCAAAGTTATTTGAACCAGAATGCGGAAAACAGAAAATATGATCAATTACCGCCACGTATTATCGCTTAAAATCTGAAATATGGAACAGAAGCAAGTACAGCAATTATGTAACATTCATCTTTTTTGAAAAAGCGTGACAGTACTCACCTAAATGCGCGTTAATCCTTATCCGCGACTGTCGTAATGAACAAAACTTTAAATCCTCAACACTAAGGTGGGAATTCGGTGAAACAGACAACTCTAAAATCAATCAGGCAGTACGGGCTATTTGACAGTAATGTAGCAATCCTCTCGCCCGGCTTGTCTTAAACTCGCTGCTAACTCAAGCCAGCGTTCGTTGAAACAGAGCCATCCAATCTGTGCATGGTTCCTGGGGTTGCTGTTATGTTGAGGCATTGTTCCCGGGTTCCTGTTATAGCGGGGAGGCGCGAGACGATTCCTTGGGTGAACTTTGTTATGTTTTGGTTCGGTGGTGAAATGATGAACTAATTAGTCGACTTTCTGACAGGGGGTAGTTGGATGTTAGTAGGTAACGAGAAATGACCATGGTTTGGCAACATGAGCTGATGTTCAGCGTCTGTGCAGTGATCGTTGATCTCACCACAGGTGTTTCGGAACAGGTGAGTGCAGACAAATCAGTGATGCAGGCCTCGAGACTAGACTTGATTCAGCAACCCATGGCGACTGCTTGTCGTAAAAGTCGACTATCGGGATCGGGTGGTTAGGCTCGCTGACTTGGTTGTTGCATGTCATCGATCTCAATTGCATGGATCGATGCTCATGATGTCAATCACTTGATTGTCTGATCCAGACTCGATTATGTACAGATCGCTGTCATTTAACTGGAATATTGCTGACTGAGGCGTAAAACAACAAACAAACAATACAGAGTCTACAGTATTCACTGAATCCCGTAAAGCCCAACCCCGTTAATCCGAAACCTTATCTTTACGGGCAATTACCGGGGCGTTAAAATATATCCAAAGAACCTTACTCCGTACCCATGGTTCGTTAAACCGAACGCTTGTTTTCACTTACTTCTGTCCATATGACGGGGCACTATAATCACCCAACTCAATCACATCCACTTTTAACCCTTACAATAGCATACATCCCTATTAGGCGAGGAAAACTGGGTTTAACGTCGCGTCCAAAGTGTGTGTGGCTGTTTGTGCTAGTCTAGACTGATGCCGATTTTATAATGCTAACTCATTGAGACACCATGCCGCAGTTTAACATGAATACCCAACCCAGACACAGTATACTGACTCCGAACCGACCAGTCCTTGTTTTAGCCCCTTATCGCGCCGTGCGCCAGACAGGGTAACAACAAGTACCAACTTTTAACGTCTTTTTGGTACGACGTGGCCGGGGATCAAACCCCGGACCTTCCGCTCTCCAGGCGGACGCTCTACCACACGACCACGGAAGCGGTCGACAATCCCATTACACACAACAATGTATGTATGCATATACCCTATGTTTTGACAGTAAAAAAGTGAAACCATTTCGTCTAAGGCGCCGCGATTCGCTGTCCAGAGTTGCGTCCATTGGGCACGCCAGAAACCTATGACTGTGGGTTCGAATCTCGGGTATCCCTGATTATGTTTCTAGGTTTGTCAGCACCATACCCCTTCTCATGGGTTTCATCGAAGTGGTAAAGGTGTGAGACCTGCATCACTTCGGGATTCCTCCTACATTAGGCTGACACGCCGTGATATAACTGGAATGGTGTTAAAAGCGGCGTTAAACCCAACTCACTCACTCCTACAACTTAAAATCAATCAGGCAGTACGGGCTATTTGACTTGAAGATGCAGGTGCGCCGAGGCGTAGGCTCTATTATAATAACTAACTGTGGAGTACACGTAATGTCTACTAGTTATGACTAACTGGTAATTAACCATCACTGTTACGAGCTACCGTTTCATCTGTATCCCACATCTGCAGGGCCACGCTTCAAAGCCTGGTCTCAAATAATACGTATTATAATGTACTGCATGGGTCATGTGAAACTGCACTTCATGGAGCGAGTTGTGTGGCTACGGAGATGCACCGAACTGCCCTGCGTAGCGAAGACTGACCTTTCGCTACATGACGTATTCTTATTTTTAAAATCATTATTCTAATGAGGTGAATAATATATTAAGTTAATTGAAAGATTTACAAAAGCAGGAAAGGTCAGTTTGAGCAGTGGGCAAATTACGCGGTGCCTGCTGTGTTTCTGCTAAATGTGACATCCGATTTAAGAGCTGGTCGGTGACTGCATTAACAGCGGGACTGTGACCAATGGAATATATAAATACTCCTGATTAATACATATATTGACATGTGTACAGTTTGGCTTTTGGGCGCTTTAACAGTATTTTAATTTTATCAGTTCGTGCCTGTTTAATGTGGGAAGAAAACCCGCAGTCAGGCAGCAGAGACCATACTATTCTGTGTTCTCTGGAGGCAGGTCGAGTATTTGGCAATATCTCGCGTTCTTGCACTTAGTTTTGCATATTTCAATTGTTTCTGAAGGTCGGTATCGCGAGAAAGCGAGAATGTCGCTCACAGTATTCCATAGATACTCCCGATAAAACTGAAATGCTTTTCAAAGCGCCATTAAACCCAACTCACTCACTTACGTACTTGTGGAAAACCATAGAAAGCCATAACAACACCACAGGTTTCATACTGTTATAAAACCAGACATATTTATGTATGCATGTGGAATAATCTCATTTAACACAAGTAACTCCTACTAGACGTAAAGTAGACAACAAGCGGCTATTCGGCTTTCAACGAACGGGACGCGTAGGACTGACCAAACACCCGAGGGGACACTTGATAGCCGTGGCGCTATAGCTTTCACAACTCGGGAGTGTTGGGTGAAGCTGCTGTTTTCCTTTATTGTTTCCCTTTGGTTATCTTTGCCAGTTTCACACAAACACACACATACACACACGTGTTCGCCTGGGGTGAGGTAAGTGTTATATCGCTGCCTATAGTTCTAAGCCACCTCTTTATCCTTGTGTTAACTGATGGGCAGACACACGCTCACTTTGCCAAACAGGTGGGGAGTTTTCAAACTGGCATCGAAACCATGACGTATGAATGGCGTTAGGGGTCGTGTGCTTCGCAAGACGCCCGTAGTGTGGAAGTATATTCGTAAAGGATTTCATATTTTGACTTTGAAACATTTTTATTTCATAACAAAATACTGGTTTCTTGCTTATGTTGAGACTCTGACATAACCCAATCAAGGAAATACGAGTGAGTGAGTTGGGTTTAACGCCCCTTTTATCAGTATTCCAGGTATATCACGGTGTGGCAGCTAAGTGTGGGAGGAAAGTCCGGAGTGATGCAGATCTCAGATGTTTACCACTTCGGTGAAACCCACGAGCACGGGTATGGTGCTGACAAACCTAGAAACATAATTTGTGGGATTGGAACCCACAATAATAGGATTCTGGCGTGCCCAAGGGACGCAACTCTGCACAGCGAATCGCGGCGGCTTAGACGACTGGGCCTCCCTGCCCATCAAGGATATATGTAAAGCAAGGCTAAACAGTACAGCACGGCTGTCGCGTGAATCGACAAAGTACAAAGTGTTAGTCTAATGGTTAAAGCGTTCGCTCGGCACGCTGAAGGCTCGGGTTCGATTCATGGGTGCAATGTGTAAAGCCCATGTCTGGTGTCCCCCGTCATGATATTGCTGGAATATTGCTATAAACAGCGTATAAAAAAACCCACTCGCTACAAAGTGGGGCATCGCTGATTTTGCGTTGTCGTACGCTATACTATACGGCATGTTCATAGATTCTTTCATTTACAGGTCAACCCGTGGAGACCCGGGGTAGAATAGGTCTTCAGCTACTCATGCTTGTCGTAAAAGGCGATTATGCTTGTCGCAGGAGGCGACTAACGGGAGCGGTTGGTCAGGCTCGCTGACTTGGTTGATGCATGTCATTGATCCCAATTGCGTGGATCGATGCTCATGATATCACTGGAGTGTTTGGTCCAGACTCGATTATTTACAGACCGCTGTCATATAGCTTGAATATTGCTGAGTGCGGCGTTACACACACACACACACACACACACACACACACACACACACACACACACACACACACACACACACACACACACACACACACACACACACACACACACACACACACACACACACACACACACACACACACACACACACACACACACTGTCGCATTATCGCGCTTTGGTTAATTTTGACACTTTTTGCTTGTGTTTGTCAGGGCCACAATGCAACAACGAGACAATGTTCCTTCTAGGATTTCATATAACACTGCTGAATTCCGCCGGCAATACCCGCTCTCACACAACTATGTTAGCTAATGATAAAAACTAACTTTATGCATGGTTACCTTGGTGGCCGGTGCGTTGAGGGAGACTATTCCGTATACATGCCGCGTGTTATACAATAGGTCAGCCTAATAAATTACCACTTATGAGGGTCGGGATGCGCGGCGATTGTTCGAAGAGTGCTGCGATTCACAGAAGTATAAATAATTGATGCAACCACCATTATGTGTGACAGGCTGCAGGGAGGTCTACAGTGAGTTTTTTCTCATTCGTACATTTATTTGTTGCTCCACAATATCAGCGAGTGCCACTTGTGGCGAAGTGGTAATTGACTGTGCAGTTATGTCCCTTAGCTACCAGGATCCAGTGATAGGAGTTACCAGATTCGCACCGATTATGATCCTTGAATGTCAAGTATTCATTGGGCTCATCAAATCGACAACATCTCCGACCCCTGTGGTGGGGGTAACCTAGTGATTAAAGCGTTCACCGAAGACCCGGGTTCGATTCCCAACATGGGTACAATGTGTGAAGCCCATTTCTGGTGTCCCCCGCCGTGATATTGCTGGTATATTGCTAAAAGCGGCGTAAAACCATACGCACTCACTCCGACCCTCGCGGACGATTCTCCACGTTGTCTGTTAGCTGTTAACGCCGCACTTAATAACATTCCAGCTATATGACGGCGGTCTGTAAATAATCGAGTCTGGACCAGGTATTCCGGTCACCGTCATCGTGATAATCGATCTACACAATCGGGAAACGATGACATGCACCAACCAAGTCAGCGATCCTCATCACCCGACCCCGTGCGTCTCCTCGACAAGCACGGGTTGCTGAAGACAAATTCTGAGGACAATGTTACTATGAACTGTACCGTCAAGATAAACAGAGTTTCGTTGTATGCGACATAGATTTCTTAATTGGTATGATTAATCCGTTCCTTATCCAGCCAGGGCGACGAGGAAGCCTATAGCTAATGGTTAAAGTGATGGCTCATTGCGCGGATGATCCGGAATCTAATCCCCCCATTGTGTCAATCCCATTTCTGCCCACGTCGATATGTTTATTCCTAAAAGCGGCGTAAAACCCTGCTCCCTCACTTACCCATCCGGCAATCTCGCATTAGTGTTCATCACTAACGAGAGGCAATAACAATGAACCATATGACAGATAGTCTTGATGAACCTCGATCTGATGCCGACTCATGTACGCATG